TTAAAGGACTCTTTGATGGATTAGGCCTTAGTTTTATATGGACCCAACAATTCATGCCAAATATAAACGTAATAAAATATGTTATTAAACAACGTATCTTTGATCAGTTCAGCCAGACTTGGACAAGTTGGATAAACAACTCTCCCAAGGCAGTATTTTACCGAATATTTAAACATAAAATCCAGTTAGAAAATGATCTGCTGTCGCTACCCTTAAGACTCAGTATCCCGATTACTAAAATAAGATCCACAAACCATAGATTACCAATAGAAAAGGGGCGATGGGAAAATATACCAGACAGAATTTGTAGTCACTGTAATAAACATGATTTAGCTGACGAATATCACTATCTACTAATATGTCCTTTTCTGCATAACTTGCGTAAGCAATATATTCAAAAGAAGTACTTTACAAGACCTAGTACGATAACACTTGATATGCTACTAAATACTGAAAGTTTAATAGAACAAAGAAAACTAGCACAGTTTGTAAAAGAAATCCTCAAGATGTTGAATTAAATTTATGAGTCTGTTGCGGTTAAATGTATAGTTGACGCACGTCTGTCTCATGCCTCGTGTCACCATAAATCTCCATTTGTACCTTCAATATGTCATAGCTATGACCTTGAAGCGAAATAATCGTTTGTTGTTGTTGTTGTTGTATAAAGTGGCTTATGGGGTAGATATAATACTTGTCTATAGATGCAAGTTATCTTTAGTAGCTTTAAAAGTTTTAACTGTTATTAACACGTGTCGTGTTAGCCCTTTGACAATCGCGGATATCCACTCCCAGAAAATAATCATGTGTTGGTTTAACATGAATGAGTAAAAGTTAATGTGGGTGGCCCAACACGTTAATTAATGAAAGAAAAGTAGTAAAAACACTGTCATTTCCTGCCCAGGACATCACACCCCTACACGCTTAGGTCGGTGAGAAACCTCCGCATCGAAGAACACACAGAGTTTTTTTCTCCGAGGACTCTCGGTACGTAGTCGCTTTATTAAATTGTTGAATATATATTTTTATATTTTGATTCAAACTCAATTAATTGAGCACAACTATACCTTTGTTGACATTTGATATCTGCCTAGATATGCACGTTTCCTTTCATTATTCTGCAATCCATTTTAGTACTACCCGCTTGCCCGACCCGGCCCGGCCCGGCACGGTCCGACTTTAGGCAATCCCACATGGTCATTGGCCAGATAATGGTAATCAGTCGTCGTGTTATTAATTGCGGGACCCTTCAACAATAGTTCTCGAATGAAGGTAAATGTTATGAACTAAGGACATCAGCTCAGTCCGTTCTTGTTGCAACGATGTGATTTGAATAGTAAAATCATGAACAATGGGTGACGTCAACTGGCGACAATGCACTGACGATGCTAGGGGCACAAGGAAAACAATGGACCAATATCCGTGAATGAGCTAATCAAGGTAAATATAATACGGTTTAGAAAAACTAGCTGAGGTGTATTCATGGTTGCAATATTGAAATCGTCTATCAACTCAAGGATATCATATTGTATCGTTAATAGTACTGAAAATTAACATGTAATGGTAATAAAATTAAGAATCAATCATTGAAAAGTTGTATTTCCGGGTGAAGTTTTCAAACTAAGAGTATGATAGTATTAATATACCAAGAATGTATTGGAGTACTTGACGAACAGGATTCCGTGTGTATAGCCAATAACTGAGAACCTGTGCATCATATCGTTTAGGTTTCCCCCATTTCAGACCAAGTGTGCCGTACAGTCCTATTCTCATGTAGCTGACCCACAATCTTTACTCCCACACAGCCGCTCAAAACGTTACCAACGAAATAGTGAGCGGTTCTAGGACACATGTAACAAACATGCTGTCATGTATTTAAGTATGTTTCGGGAAAAAACGAATTGTAAAAGAATTATTTCTTGTGCTTTTTTGGATTCAGTCAGGAAACATCGATAAGTAAATGGGGTTTCTGTTTGTCGCCTCTTTTAGAAATCTTAGCTTGGAACACTAAGAATTGGTTTCCTAACTGGGCCATCGAATCCGGTTTTTCTATGACATTACGATTCAATGTGCTAATGTTTTGACTAACCACGGTGCCATGAACTTATATATCATGTTTGAATGCGTTCGATTCGATATGCGTGTACACGAACTCACAGCCTAGCTCATATTGATCAAGTTGCAGATTATATGGTATACATATTTCTAGTCTCTTAAATCTGCGCGGTGTTTCGACTAACACTACGGTACAGCCGCCACATGTTGTTACTTGTGCAGGTGTCCAGTTGTTTTGTTGGGCTTCTTGTCACCAATTACCTCAAGCGCCAATAAAGTATCTCTCGAGTAGATAGACGATGGGGCTAATATCACTTGACATCCATAAGTTTGTCATTACCGCCGACTGCAGAGCAACCATCTGTGCAATTGACACTACTCAACCAATCCTAGCAATGACTGTTGCTCATGTTACTGCCTGAAGTTGTTGGCCCCTCCGGCTGCCTGCTCACGCGCCGACACATGTGTGCTAGCGGGCAAAGGAACACTGACAACAGGCATTCTAATCAAACGTAGGGGAAACATGGCAAGCCAAGAAATGCTTTTATGGGAGAGATCACATCCATGAAACAATGTAATTAGTTTTCATGAAAACAGACGGACAATTAATTCTATACACATACGCAATATATTGTTGATTGATGAAACACGTGTGGAATGGTTTCATCTGTGTGTACTAAACAGAATCATTTGGGACGTACCCGGAAATCTTATTTACGCAGTCGGTTTCAAATGTTAAATGTGTCCCCCGCCGTGATATTGCTGGAATACTGCTAAAAGCGGCGTAAAACCATGCTTACTCACTCACTGCTTTTGTAGAGAATATACCCCTTATTCGTGGGTGCTAGACATCGACGACCAACATCTTCCCTGTTAAGCTGACACACAGAGATAATTTGATGAAATACTGTTTCAGGTGTCGTAACACAAATTCACCCTTTTATTCCAGACAAAATACATCAGCCACGGACAATCACACGCATATACTATTCGCACCACATTGCCGAATCTTCAATCAAAATAAATTAGGTAGAACAGGACTGGATTGTTTTTCTATTATAGTCTTTTGCTTTTTCTGTTACATACCACTTAAAACTTGCCCTTTCAACTTAAGCATAACTATTGAATATTGTCTTAAACGAATGCGTTTATACAAAAACGCTAAATAGCTGGGTTACGAAACCTGAATGAAAGCAGGAAAATGCAACGACAGATACTGTGATGAACAATGGGTATTCCAAAGCCATTATCTATAATTCCTAACTCAACAAAGCGCACAGCTTAAACCGCGCTCCAAAATCAATTTTGTAATCTTGGAAAGAGAACCCATAACGACCTATGATAGTTTAATTAGGTCCTCAAGCTTTGAGATCCTTGTTTGGACAAAACTTAGTCTGCTTGATTGGGGCAGCTAAGTCTTTGTGTATAATTCAAATAGTCAAACACTGGTGCGTTATCTCACCTTCTCATGAACATTAGGCAAGCACAGATCGCTCTTAAACAGTCTGATTTTGTTAAAAATGGTTTTATTGTGAAGGTTAAGAAGGGACATTGATAAGCAGCATAGACGGCACTGCTGTAAATTCTCCCCAAAAGGCCAGGCCTATTTTGTAATCAGATTGGGGAAAACCTCCAAGTCAAAGTACAAACGTCATTGCGTCGTTCCTGTAGCATACTGTCAGAATATGGCATACGTCTCCAGTTTATGTATGTGAGGAAATCAAAGCATAACATGAGTTGCTCTGAATGCATCGCAAAACTAACCGATGGTATTTGTGCTACCAGCAGTCCAATGTCAAAAAACATTCTACACATTTATTGTCATTTAAAAAAAATGTAATTCTTATGCCGTTATTGAATGTGTTGGCAAAATCTTAGTTTTGTAGATTGAAATATAAAGATTGTGTAGGACTCTAATACTTGTACATGCTATCACATAAAACGTTTCTAGAAGGACAATCGGGAAGGACAAGCAAACATGCAGCTTCCAAACGTAAAGCGACGTTCCGAAATTTGATAACATTGAAAATGTGTCTCTCCCAACAACTTACCAGTCACACACCAGTCCACTTTCATGTAAAGCCATTTTGTTCAGTGGCAAGATTACCTAAACGTTACATAATACTTCTTCAAGAATATTATATTCAAGTGTGACAAAATATGATTAGCCATAATTGTTAATGAGGCAAGATGAAGTAACGACCAAGTTATCCACAATGTACGGCCATAGAAGGCCTAAAGATCTCACCCACGGTGAACCCTCATAGTCTCACCTCAATATAAACTATTGCACCTACTCACAATTACAATATCAGAACTTTTAAGGGGATAAATAAAACAACCCGTCAATGCCGCAGGTATTCCAATCAGATGAAGGGACAAAAGACACAAACAACCACTCACACCAACCAAGTGCATTTTACACTGTAATCATAATTTGTTCATGATCCTTTGAGGTTAATTTGCGCAAAACAAGTTCTGGAACATAAAGAGAACAGAGGTGTATTAACGTAAAACAGATTTGGTCTATGTAAATGCATTTCAGCAGAATCATGTTTAGTCACACTCTGGGAATATGCAAACATTTACTCATACAGTCAAGCTGATAGGTACCCTTCGAAAGGAAGTACACAGGAACATTATAATACCTCGTTATGTATAAGTGTTCTCAATAAAAGTACCCTGGCTGCAAAACACCTCAGGGCAGTAAAGTAATCATACCTGGGACTGGTCATTTATCACAGGGGAGGGGGCAGGTGAGATTAGCCTTAGGACTGTATCATATTTTGCCGCCCCTCCCACCGCACAAAATATTAGAAAAAATAAAACTGTGTCATTTTTTTTCATGACCCCGCTGAATCTCACCGGCAGCCTTTCCAATGATAAATTACCAGTCCCTTTCAAATATATCAACAGTATTGACAGAAAGAACAACTAACTAAACTTGCGACCTTGCATTTTTTATTACCACATATCATCTAACGCAATGGCGGACAACGTATTAAGAGAATATGGCTGTCACCAGCCAGTGGGATTGAACATGGCTCTATCCTGTGACCTGTCTCTCTTCAACCACGACTGGCTCGCTATATTGACCACGGCGTTGCTCTCTAGCATGTCATATAAGCCTCGCAGAGCTCGTTGTACTTTCATCCTTCTTCCAACGTCACGCTTCCGTCGCCAACCGGTTGGATTGAAATCAGGCTTCAAACGTTTCTGCGGAAAACTAGTTTTCTCATCTGTGAGTTTGGAAAGACCGTTTTGAGACAATGCCATTCCCGCAAAACTAACACGGTCATTCTTCGACAAAAGTTTCAACACTGATGCTAAGAGGGCCTCTGCTTCAGTGCCAAATGGTCCAGACATTAACCTGACAAATTTCTCCACAAAGTCGGCTTTACACTGGTTGTCATCTTGATTGATGATGACGTCATTCAAGTCTTTAACGTCTTGTGTGGGAAGTGAGTGAGTGACGCAGACAGCAGACGACAGGGCGAGGACTAGCAGATACCAAGCAAGCATGGGAGACGAGGTCATTCCCTCAGCTGGGAGTCTCTGAATAATAGGGAGAAGAAAATAGTGAGTACAGACATACATGATATACATTTGTCTGGGAGTTATCTCGGTAGTTATGTTAGTTGTGAAAAGTGAGTGGGTGAGTTGGGTTAACGCCGCTTTGAACAGCATTCCAGTTTATCACGGCGTGTCAACTTAATGTCGGAGGAAGTTGTGAAAAGCGTTTGTGGAGGTTGGGGGTGGAAACAAAGAGAAAGTAGAAGTTGTGGAGGATGGAGAATGTTGATGTTGGAGAGGTTGGATGGTGGAGAATGTTGATGTTGGAGAGGTTGGATGGTGGAGAATGTTGATGTTGGAGAGGGTGGATGTTTTAAGAAGGTGAAGGATTGAAGTTTGAGATGAAAGGGAGGGAAGGGTGACAGATGGGGATCGGAGGTGGAGGGTGGAGGAAGTTGGAGAAGGCGATGAGGGTAGAGGGTTGAGAAATAATTGGATGCGAGGTTGGAGAAATTTATGTTGGAGGATGGAGAAAGAGAATTTACCCGATTACACAAACTGTTCGCCTAGCTAACTTTTGCAAATATGTCAAGGTGTATTATTGCAACATACTCAATTGATTATCAAGGCAATGGTAATGCATTACTGTCTATGCTACAATACCCAAGGCACCAGTCAATGATCCCAATAGATTGGATAATAACCTCACCTGACAAAGGACAAATGGCTAATAAGTAACATATATGTTTGTTAACAGAATCACAATCCATATCACTTCCTAAATAGTCTCATTTGTCTACAGACCTCCAAGTGGTGTGTTCAAGTAGATGACAGTAAACACCTCAATTGATTACAGCATATCCATGACGCATTATATAAGCCATAAGTTCAGAACACTTCCCACAGGAACATGACAAACTATACATGTACAACTATGATACGATAATGCTTATAGGAATTATAGGGATGATGTGAAGTTGTGAAGCCACAAGACATTACTTCATTTCACTTATTTATAACTATGAAATACTAAATGGGCACGTTTTAATCTTAGACAAGGAGGTTACTACACCAGTGTGGATGTTGTGATGCTTTGGAAGATAATTTCAGTATGGATGTTGATTACTATTAGAGTGTGGACAAGCGCTACTGCATCACTAAACACCAATTCATGTCTACGTGTTTCTGTACCACTATCAGCGTGTTCCTGTATTTTCCTGTATCACTACGTGTTCTTGTGGGCGGTCGGGTAGCCTAGTGGCTAAAGCGTTCGCTCGTCACGCCGAAGACCCGGGTTCGATTCCCGACATGGGTACAATGTGTGAAGCCCATTTCTGGTGGCCCCCGCCGTGATATTGCTGGAATATTGCTAAAAGCGGCGTAAAACCATGCTCACTCAGTCACCCTTTTTTTAGACGCGTTCTTGTAACACTCTTTATTCTTTTCTGTGTTAATATTTACCTACCCCTGTATCACTCGCAATGCTCACTTGTATTATTATGTACATATTACCGTGCCCCTATATATCTGTTCCCGTACCTCTTTCTACATGTTCCTGTATCACTTTGTCCGATCATGTATCTTTAACTACCAACTCATTTATCACCATCTACACGCTCCTGTATCACTTTCTTGTACATACGCTCTGTATCTACCTGCTCCTGTGCCGCTATCAATCTGCTGCTGTGGCACTATATCAACCTGTTCCTGTATCCCGATTTACCTTTTTTCTGCCTCACTATCTACCTGTTCCCGTATCAGTATCTACCTGTTCCTGTATCACTATCTACCTGTTCCTGTACCAGTATCTACCTGTTCCTGTCTGACAACCTACCTGTTCCTGTATCACAATCTACCTGTTCCTGTATCACTATCTACCTGTTCCTGCATCACTATCTACCTGTTCCTGCATCACCATCTACCTGTATCTGTATCACTATGTACCTGTTCCTGTATCACAATCTACCTGTTCCTGTATCACTATCTACCTGTATCTGTATCACTATCTACCTGTTCCTGTATCACTATCTACCTGTTCCTGTATCACTATCTACCTGTTCCTGCATCACTATCTACCTGTATCTGTATCACTATCTACCTGTTCCTGTATCACTATCTACCTGTTCCTGTATCACTATCTACCTGTATCTGTATCACTATCTACCTGTTCCTCCATCACTATCTACCTGTATCTGTATCACTATCTACCTGTTCCTGTATCACAATCTACCTGTTCCTGTTTCACTATCTACCTGTTCCTGTATCACTATCTACCTGTTCCTGCATCACTATCTACCTGTATCTGTATCACTATCTACCTGTTCCTGTTTCACTATCTCCCTGTTCCTGTATCACTATCTACCTATTCCTGTATCACAATCTACCTGTTCCTGCATCACTATCTACCTATTCCTGTATCACAATCTACCTGTTCCTGTATCACTATCTACCTGGTCCTGTATCACTATCTCCCTGTACCTGCTTCACTATCTCCCTGTTCCTGTTTCACTATCTACATGTTCCTGTTTCACTATCTCCCTGTTCCTGTATCACTATCTACCTGTTCCTGTATCACTATCTCCCTGTTCCTGCATCACTATCTACCTGTATCTGTATCACCATCTACCTGTTCCTGTATCACAATCTACCTGTTCCTGTATCACTATCTACCTGTATCTGTATCATTATCTACCTGTTCCTGTATCACTATCTAACTGTTCCTGTATCACTATCTACCTGTTCGTGCATCACTATCTACCTGTATCTGTATCACTATCTACCTGTTCCTGTATCACTATCTACCTGTTCCTGTATTACTATCTACTTGTATCTGTATCACTATCTACCTGTTCCTGTATCACAATCTACCTGTTCCTGTATCACTATCTACCTGTATCTGTATCACTATCTACCTGTTCCTGCATCACTATCTACCTGTATCTGTATCACTATCTACCTGTTCCTGTATCACAATCTACCTGTTCCTGTTTCACTATCTCCCTGTTCCTGTATCACTATCTACCTGTTCCTGCATCACTATCTACCTGTATCTGTATCACTATCTACCTGTTCCTGTTTCACTATCTCCCTGTTCCTGTATCACTATCTACCTATTCCTGTATCACAATCTACCTGTTCCTGCATCACTATCTACCTATTCCTGTATCACTATCTACCTGGTCCTGTATCACTATCTCCCTGTACCTGCTTCACTATCTCCCTGTTCCTGTTTCACTATCTACATGTTCATGTTTCACTATCTCCCTGTTCCTGTATCACTATCTACCTGTATCTGTATCACTATCTACCTGTTCCTGTATCACAATCTACCTGTTCCTGTATCACTATCTACCTGTATCTGTATCATTATCTACCTGTTCCTGTATCACTATCTACCTGTTCCTGTATCACTATCTACCTGTATCTGTATCACTATCTACCTGTATCTGTATCACTATCTACCTGTTCCTGTATCACTATCTACCTGTTCCTGTATCACTATCTACTTGTATCTGTATCACTATCTACCTGTTCCTGTATCACTATCTACCTGTATCTGCATCACTATCTACCTGTTCCTGTATCACAATCTACCTGTTCCTGTATCACTATCTACCTGTTCCTGCATCACTATCTACCTGTATCTGTATCACTATCTACCTGTTCCTGTATCACTATCTACCTGTTCCTGTATCACTATCTACCTGTTCCTGTATCACTATCTACCTGTTCCTGCATCACTACCTACCTGTATCTGTATCACTATCTACCTGTTCCTGTATCACTATCTACCTATTCCTGTATCACTATCTACCTGTATCTGTATCACTATCTACCTGTTCCTGTATCACTATCTACCTGTATCTGTATCACTTTCTACCTGTTCCTGTATCACAATCTACCTGTTCCTGTATCACTATCTACCTGTTCCTGTATCACTATCTACCTGTTCCTGCATCACTATCTACCTGTTCCTGCATCACTATCTACCTGTATCTGTATAACTATCTACCTGTTCCTGTATCACAATCTACCTGTTCCTGTTTCACTATCTCCCTGTGTCTGTATCACTATCTACCTGTTCCTGTATCACTATCTACCTGTATCTATATCACTATCTCCCTGTTCCTGCATCACTATCTACCTGTATCTGTATCACAATCTACCTGTTCCTGTATCACTATCTACCTGTATCTGCATCACTATCTACCTGTTCCTGTATCACAATCTACCTGTTCCTGTATCACTATCTACCTGTTCCTGCATCACTATCTACCTGTATCTGTATCACTATCTACCTGTTCCTGTATCACTATCTACCTGTTCCTGTATCACTATCTACCTGTTCCTGCATCACTACCTACCTGTATCTGTATCACTATCTACCTGTTCCTGTATCACTATCTACCTGTTCCTGTATCACTATCTACCTGTATCTGTTTCACTATCTACCTGTTCCTGTATCACTATCTACCTGTATCTGTATCACTATCTACCTGTTCCTGTATCACAATCTACCTGTTTCTGTATCACTATCTACCTGTTCCTGTATCACTATCTACCTGTTCCTGCATCACTATCTACCTGTTCCTGCATCACTATCTACCTGTTCCTGCATCACTATCTACCTGTTCCTGCATCACTATCTACCTGTATCTGTATCACTATGTACCTGTTCCTGTATCACAATCTACCTGTTCCTCTATCACTATCTACCTGTATCTGTATCACTATCTACCTGTTCCTGTATCACTATCTACCTGTTCCTGTATCACTATCTACCTGTTCCTGCATCACTATATACCTGTATCTGTATCACTATCTACCTGTTCCTGTATCACTATCTACCTGTTCCTGTATCACTATCTACCTGTATCTGTATCACTATCTACCTGTTCCTCCATCACTATCTACCTGTATCTGTATCACTATCTACCTGTTCCTGTATCACAATCTACCTGTTCCTGTTTCACTATCTCCCTGTTCCTGTATCACTATCTACCTGTTCCTGCATCACTATCTACCTGTATCTGTATCACTAT